TAAGAGATAAGAACAATAAGATAAGAACAAGCAAAATGAGCTAATCTAATCTAGATAAGGCTGTTGTTGCCGAACTGGGTAGGATGAGCATCACTGAATCCTTGCTGCTGCTGGCGGTGGGCCCGGGGCCTGTTGCTGCCGACGGCAATGGTACGTCTTCCCGAGGAAGGCGTCCATAACAGATTTACTGATTGAATATTGTTGTTTTGCAGATCAACGAATTGCAGTTGTTGGCCATGTTGTTACCCAATGATTAATTCTGCTAAAACATTGAGAAAAGGAACAAGGAGGAATCATTATCAAGTATTTACCTAAAGAGCTTGACTGACCATTGCTGGGGCAGAAGACCTCGCAAGTAGTGGGCATCTCTCTCTTTCTCAGTGAAGACAAGTCCTTTATTATGGTGTGGATCCCTCAACAAAGTATACCCACTAGACAAGAGAAAAAAAGGTTTAGATAATTAAAATGCATTAACATAATAAATAAACACTTTATTATGAAACTATAGCTTTGACATGCAATAAATTAGAAGTTGGAGGTGTGAACATTTTGTTCCCTTTAGTGGCTTCTGTTACACAAAAGAAGTAGATAATCTTTTAACACATTAAAATTCTACATAGGTTTGTTTTGAATAATCTGCCCATCCAGCAGCCTTGTAAAGCAAGGAAATGGCTTTAGAAATCATACTCTTTCTGTCAGATGTTGTTCAAATGCTGTGCAAGTTTGGAAGAAAATTCATAGGACCTCCAATTATGGGCTTCACTTGTAACTCACATACTGATGTTACTTAAACTAAATCAAGAACCATTCACTCATTTCTCCCATCTTCTCATCAAGGACTCTAAGGTTATACTGCAACAATTTTTTATAATAATAAATACACATGTTGGTGGTCCTGTTTAACCTGTCCAACCCATCGATTACCAAAAAAAGAAGGAAGGGAAGCAAACAGAAACTTAACATTCTTGGACTACTGAAACAATTTAGAAAGGTGAAACTCCAGAAAGGGTTTAAAAGGAAGAAAAGAACCAGTGCTCTTCTAGATGAAAATGGAAAAATATTTGATTTGACGAAATCCATAACCTTTTCCGAATTCCATGGAAGCTTTGATGGTGTCATCATAATAAGCCCAAATCTTGTGAGACCAGAGAAAGAAAACCAGAAAACCTAAGGTTATAGTTATACATTTCTCTTACTTATGCAGACGAAGGTTTAAATTGGGTTTTCTTTTCAGCATTAATTCAAACTAGCTCATAAAAGACTTACCAAAATATCCGTTAGTATACGATAATCATTAATCTCACCAGTAGATGGGTCAACCTCAATAACCATGTTTCAGATAAGCTGTATCCAAAATAGGTTCAACAGACACATTGGATGTTCAGAATTATTTAGCAGAAAGAATACTAGTTTCAAGGTTGTTGTCAAGAAATTCTAAGCAGTGCATTCTCTCAGTAGTCTACTACTTTTTCCTCTGTAATGTGGCCCAACTTTCTAATCAACCTGTAACCCAATTCTTGGGTTCTAGATGGTGGATTTTAGAAAAAAGCACCAGAATCTCAATAATCTAGATTTAAAGAATTCTAGGATCTAGAAGTCTAAAATCCAACCAGATTTTTTTTGCTTGGTAGTTTTCAATGGTTGTATGCATTCCAACCAAATTTTGGAATTGTAAATACCCTGATTACTTGTGATCTTATCAACTTTAAGAAAACCATTCAAAACTTCCCCCAACTTTATTGACCATGTCCAAAACTTCCCCTCAACTTAAGATACCTCCAGGAAACCCCTTAGAAGGTTTTATAAATTGCATATGCTATAACTAAAGTCAAGGGGAGTTTTAGATAATCTCCCATCAACTTGTAAGTAGATCTGGATATCTACACACTAAAATTTCAGTCTATTGGTTGCCATAAATGCACAACTGCACATATTTATTCTGACGAAGGCAAAACAATTCCAGCTCTGTTCCACAGAAATACAAGAGGAAACAAAAGTGTGATGGTGTGGTAGATTGGTGATGATGCTCAATAATACAAAGTGGAAAGAAAATTTTGTATTAGCTTGGCTAGAGAAATTAGAAATACCATAGAAATAAAGAATACCTCAAAAAGAGCCTTTAATTTTGTATCCTCAACATGGCTATTTATATTTCTCACGAAGAATGTCCTGGAGGGTTCACCATAAGGGTGTTCCCTTGCAACAGAGCCAAAAGAAATTTGGTGTAAAATAACATTGGATTGATCCGCAATTGAACAAATTAAGTTAATGTTTAACAAACATAAAATTCATTACAACTCTATGTAAGAAATATTCTTAATTGTACCTAAAACCCGGAATGTTTACAGACTGAAGAACCTGCAGAGTGAGCTTAGATAGTTCATTTTGGAGTTGGAATATCTTTTGCCCTTCTTCATACTAGAGGTTGTAAGAAATATCCTTTTGCCCTTCTACGCATTTCAGCATGTGTTCTTTGGAAGCTAAGTAGCACTTTTTCTCTGCCATGTATGAAGAATCTTTGGAACTCTTTATTGATCAAAAAGATCACCAAAACTCTTTTTCTATAGGTGCCAATTGCCACTATAGATGCTTCCAAAAGTCCACATTAGGCTTTTACAAGATTGTTTACAGGTTGCTCCCACTGAACAGTAAAATAAGATCACCTAACATCAAAGGCAGTTCTTAAATGTCACATGCCAAAGATACTACTTTTTTTTTTTGAAGAGTAAAGTGAAAATTCATTAATTGAAATAAAGAAATACAATCCGAGAGGTGACAAGATGGCACCTCACCATACAAAACACAGCAACTCTAAACCAAAAAACAAAAACTGATCCAAAGCTACTACCTAATACTTTGTGTGCTTATTTTATACATAATAAAGAGTCATAGTTGAAATTTAAAGCATCACCAACATTTGATGTTAGATACCTCATTAAAGATATAGCATCCTTTTGACCAATGCTAGAAAGCTGCCTCGGAATGGTATTTATAACCTTGACAGGAGAAAACTAGGATCTGGTCAGGGTATGGTAATATTCTTTAAATTTGACTTTATCTCGAGGTAACCAAGGCCATCAACTACAAATCCAATTGATTTCCAATCCTTCAGCAACCAGGCATGTGGTCAGTGGTAGTACTCTCTAGGCCTTCAAAACAATGATGTTTTGAAAGAAAATAAAATTTTCAATTGAGCATATCCTGATGTCCATAAGGAATGTGAAGCACCAAAAAATGCCCTAACAAGAATATGGTAAGTTACTGAATAATCCAGCCCCATCCCAGACAATCAAGATCAGTTCCGAAACTAAAAGATTTAAACTACAAACAAAAATTTCTAGAATGAACATCTTTTGACGAAGAAATTATTGTCTGTAGATGATTGTAATGGATGCTTAAAAGATGAGAAAGAAACTAGCGATAGAATAAGGGAAAATAGTAGTAAACCCACCTTGAGAATGGCAGAGGAGGAAGACGGTCGGCCGGTTCTCACTTCTCACTGTTCACTGTTGCCGAAATTTCTCCTCTCTTGCTCGAACGAACAGAGGTCGCCCAGAAATTTCTCCCTTCTCAAGCATGGATCTTTCTCCTTCTCAAACTTCAGTATAAATAATTTTTTTGTGAATGAATCTTTCCCCGTCTCAAATGGACAGAAGTCTGCTATCTTTCTTTCTCGTGAAGAAGCTTGTCTTCTTTGAAAAATTTCTGCAAGGTTCTTCTGAAAAGAGAACCCTCCTATCTTGTCGAACAGGAAGGACTTCGCGCGGGAGAGAAAATTTCTTTTGCTCTCCCACATTAGACTGGTTTGTTGTAAAATCTGTCGGTTCAATAAACGATTAGACCGGTTCATTGTAAAATTTGTCGAGTCTATTAATATAAACCGCTGCGGCAGAATCGAAAGATGGCCAAGTCAGATATCCTTATAGCGGCAGTCATAAAGACCGCCAGCTCTAAGGCACCGGCTTTGACCGCTTTTCTTGTAGTGTTTGCAAGCATTCTTCTTCCCATTAGCTATTCCAATCCTCATCAGCTCTACCAAGGAAGAGATTGCCTTTGGCATCTCTCTAATTAGTTTCCTGTACTCCTCAACCGAAGATAAAAAAAATGTAGCAGCTGCTAGAATGTTTTATAATTCCTCCTCTTAGAACGTCCAAAATCAATCCCAATCCATTGTTCTTAACAATTAACATGAAAAAAAAAAATGTAGCAGCTGTTAGAATATTTTGAAATTCCTCCTCTTAGAACGTCCAAAATCAATCCCAATCCATTATTCTTGACAATTAACATTTTTCTCTAGGAATGTTTTGAAAGGTTCAACAGAGCTGCCATGACATTCTCTTGCATTGATAGATCAGTGGTGGATAGAAGCTTTAATAAATTGAGGATTGTGCTGCACCTGCCATGCCAAGCAAGACCTGTTGAATATGATTGATTTTACAACTGGATCTTGTAAGCGACCTTCTTCCTCTCTTTGCAAGCCATCGGCTAAAAACTTGGCAAGCATTTTCATGACTTCTACACCTGTCAGACTGCCGACAAAACTCGTTCTGGTAATGCCACGACTCCTACCACCTGTTTCAGCTACTGGTATTCGGTTGTCGGAACAAAACGAACTGCTGAATAAACACTTCTTTAAAGCAAAATTAAAACGGAGAATGAACAATCAGCCCAGATCAGAAATTAAAAACCAGTATTTTGAAATTTTTACAATTTCGGCATTTTGAATTTTTTTAATAATGCCCTAACGATTAATTAAAGGCACTTTCGTAAATTAATAGTTTTTTTTATTAGTGACATAATGGCGGTTTTTGTCGAATTCTTTAAAAATTCAGAAGAAGTTTTTATTAAAATAAAATTATAGGAGAGATTTTTATGATTGTCAGAAACTTCCGGAAAGGTTTTTATATTTTAAATTAGGACAAGCTCAAGAGCGTTTTATTTTGAAGAATAAATATATTCTCATTAGTACACAATCAAAGAGAAATATGAACTATTGGTGCTCAAACTGCCAAACACAAAGAATGAAATACGATTAATCATTTTGCTTACATATGTACAACAGATTGCACTTGGAGAGGACACGCGTCCTACCCCTTGCTAGTAAAAATCACACGATGGTCCAACATGAAGAAGTAGAAGGGTCGAATATCCCCGGTAACAGATACTTCCTCCCGTTGACACCCTGCGCATTGTAGCTTGCACCCGTGCTCGGGTCCAGCAATAAGTCTCCGGCGTAACCCGGATAAGCGCCCTTACCGTATACTCCCGGACAAGCCGAGGCCGCTTCCATGGGCGCATCGCCGGAACCCTGGTAATATCCATTCCCGAAAGGATTAGTTACAGTTCCGGCCAAAAGACTGGCTACATTTATGACCATGCCATCCAAGCCCACGTCCTCATTGGGCGCACCCAACGGTGGGGTTTGTGGTCCGTAGATGGGCTGGTGGAATGGCCACGCGCATTGACCCGGGCACTGAATCTCGGAGTTGCCAACCCAGATGTAGGCCGACTTCTTCTTCGAGTCCGAGCCATGAAAACCGCAGCTGCTCATACAGAACCCCTCCACCGCAACGTCCTTCGCCGTCAGAATGATTACGAGACTTCCGAGTTTGGGATCGGCTTTCTGGACCAACTCGGAAATCTGGGATCTTTTCAAGGTTTTTCCCATAGAGTACTTCTCATCGATGATTTGGTCAGATAAAATGATCCGAGTCCCCTTCTTCCCGGCATTCTTCATGTAGGTCTCGATGGTTTTCCACCACTGAGAAACCGAAKGTGCTTCTGTAGACGAGGAAGCCTTTTGTTGTTGTGGGGTAAGAGAGACCAAAAAGTCTGCAACAATGGATTTCTGAGATGGGGTGAATTTACCGTACCACAGAATAGAGACAGGGAGTTCTCCTTCGAGTAAAGCTCCATTATGATATGTCAGAAGCATAGGTGGTGGCTGGTAAAGAGCTGTGAGCTTTCTAGCTCCAGAGCACAGATTGGTGAAATTGGGATGAATGAGTATGATAAGAAAAAAGGTTGTTTTAAAGGATTCAGAGAAACCCATTTCCAGCAAAGAAAGAAAAAGGGTTTGACAATCAAACGGAACGAGAGAGAGAGAGAGAGGCGTTTGGTCTGTGTTGGTGAGAATCAGATGGGATGTGTTGTGAGCTTGTGGGGTGAGAGCATGCGAGTATAAATAGGTGAGTGAACTAGCTAGGCAAATTGGATTCCTTTTGGTAGCTGACTTTGATCTTACTTCCTCTGTAGATGTAGCTTCGCTAGTTGAAGAAATAATAAAAGAAAAAGAGAAAGAAGGGGGTCACGAGGATTCAGAGAGATGACAAGTGAGGGAGGAATCTGGGTAGCCGACCCTGTTTTTTAATTGTTTTTTGTGCAGAGATTTTGGATTTTGGTTGGAGAGGCTGGTTTCGCAGCCGCTGATTTGCATGGAAAGGGACGGAAGTGGGATTGGGCTACATGTGTTTGTGGGAGAGGCAGCCTCCTGTGCACTTTCGTTGGTATCATCTTTTATCATTACCATTGTATAAATAAGCTTAGTAACCCAGAGTAGATGTCATTGGGCTTATTTCTTTCAATTTTTTATCTTTGCGGATCTTTCTTTAAAGCTTAAATCTAAGATTATCTACTTTCTTTAAGCCTATAATTATAATTATTTTAATTATTTCTCATTACGAGGGAGATAGAAGGCCGGCCCGGCCCATGGGTGATGGGTCCACCTAAGTTGGTTCAATATCCCACATGCTTTGCTGAGTGCTACGAACTATAGTAGACGAACACGTAAACTGACACACGCACAAGTGTCTCAAACGGAATGTGGATAAGTGTGCGGTAAGTCTACGGTCTACCGTACCGAAGTGGAGCTTTTGGCAGCAGAAAAGTGAGGTCTGTAAGGTCTTGTGAGTTGTGACTCGTGTACCTTGTGCGTGAATCGTGGTTTTTTGTTTTTTGATAAAAGAATGAAAATTATATTAGTGAATAGTGAGGAAACAGGAGATACAATCATACAAAGTCCTTATTTGGGCCTAGCTCAAAGGATCCAGCCCGGCCAAGCCTGAAAAAAGACACCATCGTCCATCAAGGCATCAACATTTAAGCTTCTTTGCGGCGAGGTGTCTAAATCAAACTCGCTTTCAAGGAAGAGACAAGACTCAAGAGAGTTCAGAGTTCAGTTAACACCCAAATGCCCATGGGCCTGTTTTGAAGTCAAAGAAAGAGCATGTGCACAGTGCACTTGGTCATGACCCGACCCTTGGTTAACCAATTGGTAGGGTATCCGTAAAGGCGTAAAATGTAAGCAAGCGTAGAGTGGGCCTATACGTTAAGGCCCAAATTTCGTAGACTAAAAGCAAAGGTCTAAGAAGAACTAAGAACATCGCAGCTCTGGCTCTTGCATGTACACAGAAAAGTCCAATGAATGATACATTATAGAAATGGCCTGACTGTAGGAATCCAAATTAACCACCCTTTTCTATGTATTATTGTTGTAGTAACTGCTGATATTGCGCAATCTGGGCATTCCTACCTGAGAAGAAGACGGTTCTTAGGAGATTTGTCCAGTCGGAATATTTCGATGCTTAAGTTAGAATGCTGGAGAAAGCAGTAAAGAGTGCAAAGAAGGCTAAGAGTGCAGGTCGCACTAGATCACTGAATATTCGAGATAAAGTTCAGATATGTTCAAGATATATCTTTTCCCCTTCGACCATGGGGCTCTTAAATATGGGCGTTCTTGTCAAATCGGGCGTAACCACCACTGGACCTCTATCGCAGTCGTTATCTGCCAGGGCTGCACAGGTGACCGTTGCAGAGTATTACCCAATCGGATGAGTGACACGTCCCGGAAGGACAGACACGCCACCATCTATCGAGAGACATGGGTGCAGTCTTGTCGGGCTGTCAGGGACTACGCCGTCGGTCAGGAGACGTGGTGCAGTTTGACAGGTACGGTCTTGTCAAATAGAAGCTTCCTGAAAGCGTTGCGTCGCTTAGTAGTGAGTTGCTTTGCAGCGAGCTAACCTTGTAGCGGGCTGTCCTGTTGCAAGCTACCTTGTAGTGAGCTCTTAGGGGTACTTTGAGGTGATTCCTCTTGAGGTGGTCCTTGAGGCAGTTTTCCTGCCTAAGCATTGGAGCGAGATGGTTATCCTATCTCGCGAGCTGGGATAGACTTGTCTTGGAGTATTCCCTTTTAGCACATCGGGGGTCCTCGAGCTCGCGCTATAGCGAGCTCACCCTATGGCGAGCTGTCCTACGAGCTCATTACTTAGTCGCGGTGAGGCTGTTGTGCTGAGCTGTTACTTGTGTTGAGTCGTGTCCACGTGTCACCGTCCCAAGGGGCCGGGTCAAATCACCCTCCATCAATTGCCAGCAAATGCAAATAAAGCATTATAGGGAAAATCACAATATATAATAAATTAAACTTGTTTTCGATTCTAGAGATTCTAATTCAAAACGACTCCATTGCCAATACTCGGTGAGTGCATCACGTCTGGAGATCGGCTTCAGTATGTGCAAGCTCCGTTCGAACATTGTTCAAATAGCCTTGCATTCTTGCATTCTATACAGACTGCTTTTATGGAGCTTGCACTAATTGAATCCGTTTTTACACATCTGATGTCTGTTGGATATCCAAATCTCTATGGCAAGCAACTAGGAAATTTGTAATCCAGCAATAATCCAGTGGCGTTATTCAGGTGTACACAAAGGGGTGCCCACAATTCGAGTTTCTCACAAATTATTTGAGCTCGGTTCGTGAAAAGTTTGACTTGGCTCGGTTTAAACCAAGATTCAAGTCGAGCTCGAGCCTAATATATAGGCTCGTTTGCTAATCGAGCCAAGCTCAAATCCAATAAAGCTTAGCTCATGAGGCTCRCAAGCCTAGTATAACAAATAATTTTTTAATATATATACATATGTATATGCATATGCATATGCATATATATAATAATATTTTTATTTTTATGTATAATAGTAAACAATTTTTATAATTCTTACTTTTTAAGTAAAATAAAAAAATATATTTGTATATGTATAGCCGAGCCGAGCTCGGACCTATAAACTTTGAACCGAGCCGATCTTGAGCTCGAGCCTAACACAGTTTCAGTGAGTTGAGCTCGAATAACCAAGTATTTGGTTTGGCTTGGCTCAAATCCACCCTAGGTACACATATGTAGATTTGACTGCAATTTAGTTAGATTATAGTCGCATGATTTTATCTCATGTTTCTACTATAACGAGTYAGAGATGTCACCAATTGAACCATGTATTGGCAATTTGGCATCATTTGTGCTATATACATGCGGCCAAAGTCTCATCTATTGGTAGTACTATGGCAAGAAGGATGAACTCATAAGCCCACTGCCACCTGAAAAATTCGTTGTGTATTAACACCATAAGGCTATATTCGTTTGATAGAACATAAAAGAGAAACAAAAAAAGTAGAGGGGGGAAATTCTCAACAAATTTTGTGAAGGCAAATGCTAGTATGTAGATTAATCATCATGTGATAAGTGATAAGGGAATGAAATGTTGTCACACAACCCTCCCTTTATATTGGCTTATTTGCCACTTTATAACATGGGGTCCCACTAAGGTGTCGTTTAATAACACTGAAATCTGGAATCTGAAAAGTGTAAAAGCTATTATTTAGCTCTGAAGTTTGAAAAGAGGTATACATGCTTTTTTGTTTACCAAAAGCTCTAAACAAGTAAGGTTGTTTGAGATAGATCAATCCTTCAACATTTTTTTATGAGGGCAGATTTGGCCCTCCAATGAAATTATGACACTTGGCACCTCACAGCAACTCTCCAAAGAGCTCACCAAGGAGCTCGCCACCAAGGAGCGAGGCAGCTCGCCAAGGAACTCACCAAGGAGCTCGACAACTCTCCAAGGAGCCCACCAAGGAGCGAGGCAGATCTCCAAGGAGCTCGGCAGCTCGCCACCAAGGAGCTAGGCTCTCTCCAAGGAGCTCGCCAAGGAGATCGGCAACTCGCCAAGGAGATCGGCAACTCGCCAAGGAGCTCGCCACCAAGGAGCTCGGCAACTCTCCAAGGAGCTCGCCACTAAGGAGCTAGGCAGCTCTCCAAGGAGCTCGGCAGCTCACCAAGGAGGTCGTCACCAAGTAGCCACCAGGGAGCTCGTCGCCATAGGTAGCTCGCTACTTGCAGGGTAGCTCGGTACAGAAGAGCAGTTCGGCATATCGCAGGAAGATCTCTTGCCTAACAATCGTACCTGACAGATCTGGTGGCAGCGCCCACATCTCTTGCCAGGCGGCATCGTGCCTGCCATCTCTGAAAAGCATGGCACGCCTGACGAGTCCGTACCCTGCAGCAGCAGCCTGCACCTG